CACTTAAGATTGGGCCCAGAGTCCCTGGAAGGCAGAGATTTGGTTTCCTCTTGAGCCCCTAGCTATCCAGGAAAGGCGCTTGGTATTTTTAGCTGTTTGTAGCTCATCTGATAAGTGAAAAAGGAATGTCAATTCTCTCTTTTTGCAGACCCTGATTTCTAAAACCGCCCTACATGGAGGGCTAGGAATCCCACCGACTCCTTGGCCCTGCCTAGCTTGTCTCCTCTAAGCCTGGCTCTGCAGCGGCTGTCACGCCTTGCAGCCTGGGTACAGATGGCCTGGACACCCCCCCAAGGCTCTCTCACTTCTGCAGAAAATCCCTGAGGGGTGAGGGCTGCAGATACCACTTGGCTCCCCAGTCTCTCAGCAGCAGGCTAGACTCCTTCTTTGGGGGAAGAATGACAAATCCGAGGAGCAGCTCAAGACCCAGGGAAGAAGGAGCAGCACAGCTGGCCAGCCTGTCCCAGCCGAGAGCCTGCCAAGGACGCTGGATGCCAGGTGATAGAGGAACAAGCCAAGATGAAGGGTGGGTGCTGCCTTCAGCTCCTTAAGATCAACCGTTTAACAACACCCCAGCGCAGCTAAGTCCTGGCGCACGGCAGCACACACTCCACCCACAGGTGCTCTCCGGGACAGTGCCTCAATTTCTCACCTACAGATCTCTTCCAGGGAAGGAAGCCATGAGGATTAAATAAAACTGCTTGAAGAAAGTATCTGGCAAGCCGCTGGCCAAACAGCCAGCTCTCAGGACATCACAGACCCTGGCACAAGGCGGGCAGGGTGCCACACACCTGCAATCCCAATGTCCTCAACCTGGGAAACTCAGTGATTTAGTGTGACACTATCTCTGTAAAAAATAAAAATGGGCTGGAAATGTAGCTCAGTGCAAAAGCCCTGGAGTCCAAGCCCCAGAACTGAAAAAGTAAGCAAGCAGGCAAGAATTCTGTGCAGCAGGAATACTGTACAACAGGAAGTTTTCCTTCCCAGGGGACTCAGAATTTTTTGCTCGTGACAGCCTTTAATATGTCTGGGGCAGAGGGAGGAGGAAGGGACGCCCACAAGGTGAACAGAGGGGACCCAGGACCTGCCCCATGGCAGCTCCAGCTGGCAGGCACTGCAATCCAGACCTCCTCCCAAGGACAGGGCTTAGTGGACCTGTTTTCAGACTCGGTCCTGGCACTCAACTTTTTCAAACCATTGTCTTCTGAAGGAAATAAAATCAAGGCCAGGGCCAGGGAAATGGCTCAGTAGAATAAGCATTTGCCTGGCAAGCGCAAGGGTCTGAGTTCAATCCCCAGTTCCGCCAAAAAATAAATAAATAAATAAAATCCAGGCCAGGTTCCTTCCACTCTCTCACTTCCGTTTGTCTCCAGCTTTTGTCCTGGCAGCCGATGCTGCTTGGCCTTGGTCACCACAGCTGTCACAGCCATTTTCTTCAGTCCACACCCACCCACTTGGGCACAGCCCTCTGTCCTTGCAGACACGAAGCAGTTCAACTCTGGCTGCTGAGAGGCACCCGGGGACCACCTTAAGGCAGAGGTGTGCCAACAATCATGTGTCACATGGCTGGGGGGGTGGGTACTGCTGGGGTCTCCCCGGCACACCCCACTCCTCTGCTTGTCAGGAAAGTGCTGAGAGATGAGGACTCTGCAGATGCAGCCGAGGAGAACCTCTGCAGTATAGCAGAAGGGAACTTCATGGCATAAGAAGACTGAAGTCACTACTACCTGTGCCATAGACCTCGCAGACCCCAAAGGGGAGCACCCCAAAACCACTGAACAAGTACAAGCAGAACATCCAAAAACCAATATTGACTGTTCCATTTGTCCAGGAGCATTCTGAGAAATCTGTAAACAGCCCACAATGCCAAGTGTTAAACTCCACTCTGCCCCTGTTCCTGACAGTCCCTCTGGGGTCAAGGTCTGCCACCCCCTGTGCAGGATACAAGTCACCTCTGTCCCCTTTTCACATGGATGTCCAAACTGGTTCACTGCCTCTCTGGGGAAGGACGAGCCGAGAAATCATGCGGAACACAAGTTCCCACAGAGCTCAGAAATCTGACGACCTCAGAGCACTGTCAAGAAAGACCCTTGACATTTCCCTAGGAAGCTCATCTTCTGCAAAAGGCTAGGGCAGCTGTGTGCATGCGCTGGGAAAATCTAGGGCTGCAGCGGTTTCCGCTCCAGTGCCCACTTCCTCTATCACATTCCTTCCCTCCTCCCTGCTCTTCGGAAAAGACACTGGCACAGGGTTTAGCCAGGGAGCGAAGTGCAGGGCTCTATTAAGGGCTGTAAGATAAAAAGAGCTAAAAAGGATCTCGAGAACCAAAAATAGTCAATCACTATAGAAGAGCTACTTCTAGTCTACCCCTTTTATGTTTGAAGGAACTTCTTTTTAAATGTTGGCAGCCCAACATTTTTTTTTCCATTTTAAGTATTTGGTACAGGGTCTGACTACGCAGCCCAGACTCAGTGATCCTATTTCCAGCCTCCTCAAAGCTAGGATTACAGGCATGCACCACCATGCCCAGACTACATCACTGGCTCAGTGAACCCTGGGGGTGGGGCTGGCTCAGCATGCAGGACCAAGGATCAAACCCTGGGCCCTGAGCTTGCCAAAGCAGGCGCTTAGTCCGCTGAGCTACCTCACCAGCCTGGAAGCCCTGCTTTTTAAAAATAAAGTTCTATTCACTTAATACTTCTGCATAGCTGCATAAGGCCACAACACACAGCTCCTGAGTGTCAGTGTTTCAAGAGCTGGGACATTGCCAATCCAGCCTTCCAAATCCACCTCACATGAGAGTACCTGTGAAAATGATCTGAAAGCCACCAAGGGCGAGTCAACCCGACAATCCAGCTGTTACTCCTATTGTTGAAAGATCTATGTAAGGCATCCTTAGAAAAGATGCTGACTTTGAGGTGTAGAGTGTGGACCCTGCCTGTACCATCCTTCCCCAGCATTCACCCCAAGGACAGATGATCCCCCTTGCTTGGCAGCTGAAGAGCAACCAGAAAAGGTCAGTCTTAAAGTCTAGGGTTGAACAAAGTGATGAAGCGTCCTAAGAAAAGAAAGGGTCCGGCTCAGTTGCCCCATCAGACAATGGGCCTCCACCAGACAGCAGAAGCCAGGCACCAGCCAGCTGAGGTCCACCCACCCCATCTCCAGCAGCTGTGACTTCTTAGCCCCTGTACTGTTCCATGTATGGACCCATGAGCGCTTGTGACGAATCCAGACATGTTTGATGGAGCAATTCACAACAGAAATGGAAGTTCACAACGTAAAACAATCACCACCTCCACCACCACCACCAAAAACAGTCGCTCTGCTCTCTGCCCCTGGCACAGTGTTCAGCCAGGCAGTGTGCTTGCTGTAATGACAAACAGCCTACCGGCTGGACACCATCCCACTGCAACTCCACACAATGGCTCCTGAGGACAAGTCCAGCCTGGCTTGACATCTGACCACATCCCCCACGAAAAAGACAACCCCTGTGCAGTAGTAGCTCGCGCAGCTTTTTCCATTACCACTTCGTGGCTGGGAAGCATTTTTTCCCTGGCAGTAAGCTCCTAATTTGCCTTCCACAGCGGACAGCCTTTGAGACGTGGCCAAGCTGAAGCAGCAGTGTCCTCATGGACCCTTGAGCTCGTCCAAGAGGGTCCTGGCATAGTCAGACTGCTACCATGGTAAGTCTCCTAGATTCTCTGCACAGTAACCTCCTCTTTGAGATCCTTCCCCCAATGTTCCCAGCCTCCAACCCTGAGTGCCTAGAAATGTCAGCCCCCTCCTAAAACAGATTTGGTGGGAATACCCCATTCAAAACACACCCACCATTCAATCCCCAAAGTTGACCGATCCTTCTGGGAGTCTAGATTCCAATCTAGGAATGGGTCACTTAACAAATGCTGACATACTACACTTAATTCTACCTCTCCCTACCAGAAAAAAAAAAAAAAAATCCCATTCACCAAAATGCAAAGCAGGCGAGTATGGGGTGGGGTTCTGGGGCCCAGCCTAAAAACGGTTCTCAACTTGATGACACATAATCTAACCCATCTATTCAGCGTGGCTACTTTGTGGGAGTTCCCTCTCCCACCAAAACCTTGCTGGGAAATTGTTAAGACTGTACTGTTACAATGGAGACAATTACTCTGCGTCAAAATGGACTATAAAACTTGTCTCCTACCCATTCCCCAAACAATATCCACCAGCTACCCACAAAACCACCGAGCCGCAGGTACACAAATTTCAAACAAAAACCTTTCTTCCATTGGAACCTTTAAGATCCCAGGCCAGCAAACACCGGGAGCACCTGGAACTCCAGGAAGCACAAAACTTGTTGCAACAATAAACGCTCCGCGGCGGCCGGAACAAAGCGCCACCGCCGAGCTACAGACGCGCAGGGCCCTGGGACGCGAGCTCGGGTTTGCAGCAAACTCTGCGCGCCCCTTCCAGCCGCACCCGCCCGCACCCTCCGGGGTGCGGGACACCAACTTGGTGCCATCGAGGGCCCCCTTTCCCTGCGCTTCCCCTCCTTGCCTTCCCTCCCCGGGGACCGAGAGTCTGCCGTCCCGGGCAGGAAGCCGGACCCCCGCGTAACTCGGCGGTGGCGAACAAAGGAGCGGACAGACGCAGCGCTGCAGGCGCGGGAGCCAGGGCAAACGCTGCTCCCGCAGCCGGGGCACGCGGTGCCTGAAGCCCACTCCTCCTCGGCCCACTGTCCCTGGCCCGGTCCGGGGGAAGCGCCCGAGTCCCGCCCCCGCCCGGGCAGGAGCCGGCAGCGAGCGGAAGGGAGCGGGGCCCGGTGGCCGGAGGACTGCGGGGTCCCCGCGCCGCCACCACCGGCGCCCGGCGAAGTCGCATAACTTAGTTCGCGCGCGCCGCTCCTCCTACCGCCCCTGGCCTCCGTGCGCCCACCCGAGCCGGGGACGCGGACGCTCGGCGCCGCGGGGGCTGGAAAGCGCGGACGGGGGAGAACGGGGATGGGGACAGCGCCGCGTTACCTGGCCGGGGCCGCTGCGCCTCTGGTCTGGGTCTCGGTGCTCGCGGCGGCTGGGGCGGGAGGAGCTGGGGGAGCGGAAAGAGCGGGATGCGGGCCGTGCTCCGTTCCCCACGTTGGCAATTAGGTCCGTGTGCGCCGCGAGGCTGCGGGCGCCGAGCTGCGGCAGGAAGGCCACGCCCCTCTCCAGTCGGGGGCGTGGCCTGGGCGGGACCAAAGTGGACTGGGAGAGGCCGGGTGGGGCCTGAAGGGGCGGGGTCGGAGGAGGGCGTGGCCCACAGGGGACCGGGACTGGAGGAGACGCCGGGGGGCGGAGCTGGAAGGGCGGGGCCTGGAGGGGAGGGGCTGAGGGGGCGGGGCCGAAGGGTTCAGGGCAGGGCTCGCCCCGCCTCGCGAAGCCGCAGCTTCGCCCCTGGCCACCTCCCCTCGTCCTGCACCACCAGCTGCACAGCGCTCCCCAGCGGCAATGGGGCGGTGGAGGAGGGTGAGGGGCGCTGGCTTCCCCAAGCAGCCTGTCAGAAATGCACGATCTGCCAGCTACAGCCAGCCCCTGGGCACCTGCAGACAGACAGTGGGAGTGTTCCCAAGGTTTCCTCCTCCTGGATACGCGTGCCCAAGAATATAAAAAAAGATACTGATTTAGCCGGGTAGGGTAACTCATGCCCCTGTAATCCCAGCACTCTAAGAGGCTGAGGCGGGAGGGATAGCATGTTCAACCCCCACCTGTGCATTTTATCAATTTTAGCAAGACTCTGTCTCAAAATATAAGAGCCGAAGGTGTGCTCAATGAGAAGGCTTTGGGTTCACTCTTCAGTGCAACAAAGATAGATAGCTGGGTGGATAGATCGGTGGATAGATGATAGAAAGGAGAGAGAGAGAGAGAGAGAGAGAGAGAGAGAGAGAGAGAGAGAGAGAGAGAGAGAGAGAGAGAGAGAGAGAGAACATGCACGTGTGCATACACGTGTGCCAATTTGAAAGTCTGTTGGATGACAAGCTATTTCTTCCCCTGCACGGGTTGCAGCATCTACTAACCCGCGTCATCTTGCTACTTTGAGTGGCCACCGACCTGGTTCCGATCGCAACGGGTCACATGCATACAGGACAGCATAGGCAAACAGGCCGGGGTTTCTCAGGCCTGCTGCCCTGTGGCCACACTGGAATTTAGAACAAGCCACTTGCTGCCGTGTCAGTCTCCTCATCCTGGCGAAGGCAGGGTGCTCATCCAGACTTACTCATGGGGTGAGGTGAGGATTAGCCGGCTGAGGTGTGCGAAGCAGTACAGCAGACGCCATCATTACGGCTCATGAGTCGGACTCCTTTATCCTGTAATGAAGTAAATTGCCATAAATGGGGCCAGGTTTAAAAGGACTGACCTATATCTGGAAACTGTCACTAAAAGGAGGTGAACCAAGGAATCCAGGCCATATATAGTAACCCTGCTCCCGTGGTAGTGAGAGCCACTGGCCCTGAGATTCGTCAGATGCCACCTCCTTGGAACTACACCCTCACCACTGTGACCATCTGCCCACATGCGCCAGGCGCAAGGCCGGCAGGGTGGCCTCTACAGGGGCACATGCTGAGTACTGGGGACCACTTTTATTTAATTTTCACAAAGACTGCTATTCTTGTCTTACAGACCAGGGAAGCCAAGGAAGCAGGGTGTTCCAGCTAATAAGTGGCTCTGGTGTTTTGTCGCACGGTGCACTGCTTCTTCGGTACACCACTTATTAAGGGGTGATGTCCGATGGCCCTCCCCTTGTACACAGGCTGGATGCGGCAGACAAGATGCTGAGTGACTCTAGAGCCTGGGCCACTTGAGGAGACACGTCCTCCCTCCCCCGCCCAGTCCTCCCCACTACCCGCTGTCTTGGGACAAACACCCTGGGGGCCCAGCCATGTGTACAGGTACTGAGCTGTGTCTGCAGACTGTGAGCTGCCAGACTGTGAGCCAGGGAGCCTTTTGGAGGTCCCAGACCAGGGACACTGGCCACTCTGCAGGAGAGAACTAGAGAGAGTACCTAGCCAAGCCATCTGTATCCAAAGACATGAGTATAACAGTAAAGGTTTGTCTCTGGAGTGACCCTGGGGTGTTCTGGGGCAACAGACTCTCGGGACAGTGGCCATCTGTCTCTGTAGTCTTCATGACATGCAGCAAGTGCACACCCTCGGTCTCGATAACCTGGCCACAATCAGACCCGGGAGGGCCAGCCTCACCGCACCTGACACCTGGCACTGACACCTGGCCAGCGATCTTAGACCATGCATCTGCCACCCAGTTTTGGTTCCAAGGGGACTGTGTACAGCAGTGCAGCAGCAGAAGCCCTGCTGGCCTCTGGCGGCCAGGACAGCTTTTTAGAAATAGCAGGCATGCGGATGGTAGGCTCACAAATATAAAATGGAAACAAGCCTCTTGGGAGCTGGGGCAAGTCTACCACCTCTCGGTCCAGGAACTGGCCATGTTTTAGTTAGGAGTGGATTGGGACCTATGTGTGCAGAGTAGGGGTTCCGGGGTGATGAGGGCATTCAGGGTCCTTGCCTCCGAGGGAGGAACTGAGGGTCACAACAGTTCTAACCTCACAGAATGGGAAATGTCAGGGCCTCTTTCCTGCTTTTCAGCAAATTCAAAAAAGAAACTACCAGAAATTGTTGAACTTCTTCTAATAAACATTGATAAAATTAACCAAAAAACTATTAGGCCCAAAAAATGCTTCCAGAGCAAAGGCTCGATGCTCTTTTTAAAAAATGCCATTAAACTAACTCTCATAAATCTCAAAATCCAAACTGTTTTTGTTTCTTTTTATTATTGTTTTGTGCTTTTCTTTTCTTTTTTCCCGAGACAGGGACTTGCTATGTAGCCCAGGCTGGTCTTGAACTCATGGGGAGCCTCCTGCCCTGGCCTCCTGGGTGCTGGGATTATACACATGCACCATTACACCTGGCTCTAGACTTCTGAAGACATATTGTAAGGTTTTAAAATACCTTCAACCTCCTGGATGCTCTTTTCAAATGTCAGTCAATCAACAACTGTTAAATTTAAGATAAGCAGATTAAAGTTGTTGTCGTGATTGGCACAGGAGATAAACACATCCACTACAAAAGCATTTTTTGTTTTACTTTCCCCTCAGTCTCCTTGGAGGAAATACAATGTATGAAGAAGCAGAAAGACTGTTATGAATGGTTTAGAGTGAAAAACATAAATGATCAAATTACTGGAGTAAAAGAATATAGGAAGTGTCTTTTAACTCAACAAAAATATGTAATGATTTAAAAGTGTGTAATGATTTAAGTTGAAACAATGGAAGTCTTACAAGTTGTGAAAAATCCAGACATAAAAGTGTTACAGGAAGAGAATTACTACTAAGCACATAGGATTCTCTTTCGTTGGTTGTATTTACCTGATTCCTTTATATTTTAAAGAATTCAACCTTAGGAAAAAGATTAAGAAAATGGTCTGCCTCTGCCATGTTTTGATATCTGCAACCCTAATCGTGGGCTAGCAGTCATGATTTCAGATTTTCTCACCACTCTCATCTGCTTTGAACTTGGCTGTGTGCGCGCTCTCCTTTCGTGGTACCTAATACTAAGCATTAGAGGTCACATTTTCCCCTCTCACTGCCCATCCTCAGCTTCATCGACTTCACTTATCCTCTGAGACCAAACCCAGGGCCCAGTCCTGCCAGACCTCCTGACCAGGGCCTCCTGACCCGGACCTGGCTGCCCTACAATGACCACCACCTGACTCAGCATCCCAGGGCCTGTTCATCCACTCCAATCTCTGAGGTCTTCCTACTGATGCTTTTGAAAATGTTTGCTTTCTCCAACTAGGTAGTGGGCCTTGAGATTAAATGGGACGATCAACTGGACAGTACCAGGTCCAGGGCGATAAGCACAACTTGCTCATTCCAGGAAATGTCCAGCCCAACAAACAAACACATCTCCGCATAGTGTGTCCTAGAGCAACTCCTAACACAGCCGTGTTGGCTTGGGAATCCCTCTCCATAGCCCATGAGGTCGGCTAGCATTGTTGTCCCCCCGCTTTAGAGAAGATGAAACTGAGGCAAAAATTCAACTGTGTGTCTGACAACTGCATTCAACTGCATTTGACCAGTGCCCTCCGTCACCTACCTGTAGGGCTGTCTCTTCCTGTGGCTTATGCATCATCTTCCCTCAAGGAGCTTTAACCTGGGATCACTTTTCCTCCTTCATCCCCTAGAAAGAAACTCATCTTACTTTTTTTTTTTTTTTTTTTTTTTTTTTTTTTTTTTTTTTTTTTTAGGGAAGGGTCTACAGGGTAACCAAGGTCTCACTACTAGATCCGACTCATAGTGATTCTCCTGGTTACAGCCTCCCAAGAGCTGGGATTACAGGTGCACGCCACCACACCCACTCTAAATTTCTGTCTCAGTGCACCTTGGGAGCAGGGCCTGAGGATCAAACCCCCGGAGCCTGTACCTGCTTGCAGGTGCTTTAATTCACTGAGCTATTTGACTGGCTCTTCATCTTACTTTTCTATACCTCTCAGTTCAGCATAGTATTCCACATACAACACTGATTCAGTAATTCTTAAGAAGTTGCATTGAAAAGAAAATCTTTTTATATATTTAGAATGCTTTGGGGCTGGGAAGATAGCTCAGTGGCATAAGTGGCTGCCTGGCAAGCACAAGGTCCCAAGTTTGGACCCTGGTACGCTGTGCCAACTCTGGAACCCAGCGTGGTGACGCACACCTGTAATCCCAGCCCTCGGGGGGTTGAGACGCAAGGATCACTACAAGTCCAAGCTGTATATTAAGACCCTGTACCAAAAAATAAAAAGGAAAGAAAGAAAAATCCATAGAGTACTTTCAAAATAAGTGTGTAATGTTTAAAGTATTATTGAAAATTTAGATTAGGTATATTTTTTCAAATACCCTTCTCTATAGCATTATCAGCCTTAAGGATGAAGGAGTAAAAACAATTCAGTTATCTGTGTATTTAAAAAGGGATTGCTGAGTAGCAATGAGAAAATTAGAGGGGAAAGAGAGGGAAGGAAATTCTTCCAGGCAGAAGAAATCACTAAGTTTGGGGATGATAAAGAGAAGAATTCAAAGCGCTCACAAATAGGGTTTTTGTAGGTACTAAATTATTTTAAAATAAAAATCTTCAAAAAAAATGTAATG